TTTTTTCTTTGGAATGTGTTATGATATTTGGTGCATCATATCGCACTATTTCATTTTTGTCATTAAATTTATTCTGTTGTTTATCGATTTTTTCAATTTTTATGTTCGCTTTTGCACTTTTTCACTTTTATTTTGTGTTTGATTTAATGTTTTTCGATCAAAATTATGATGTTTGTCGAGTTTTAAAACTTCAATTTTAAATCACTTGATATTGATAAAATTTAATCACTTAACTTGCGTAGGTTTTCGGCCCTTTTCTGGAATCTCGCCATATAATATTAAATCTCACATATATTTATAGGTATTTAGTACTTGCCTTATTTATGCTTCAATCTATAATTTAAGTAAATGAATATACACATGTGTTTATGTTGAGCGTACAGTGACAATTGACCATTGTCATTTGTTATCATTAGTTCAACTGCGCATGGGGCATGCGACGCGTGGGATCAGTGACGCATGCCCATGCCGCTTATATCGTATGTCTTAATAGCGTTTACCGTTACAAAACGATGCCTTAGCCAAATATGTGCTTATGTCATGTTTCCACAATCCGTCCAAATGAAGTTAAGTGTGCGATTCAATTTTTATTTATCACAAGAGTAAGTTGTTGTCGTTATCGATCACATTGACAATTGTACTGTGTGGTTTTGAAATTGAAAGAAAAGAAACAGTTATCTAAATAAAAAAAATGTCATTCATCCAATTAAGTATCATTTCAGTCTGACACAAAATTTTGAAGAGAAAAACTATTTTGCTCATATTGGCCATTGAATAATAAGTAGTAGTTCAATTTTTGAGTTATCAAACTTGTTTCGGTGACGTTATTTCTTGTTACGGTGAAAAAAAAAATTTAAAAAAATGTTTCTTGGTAGATTTGACAATAAAACTAGTGATGAACCTCGAAAACGTGGAAAAAAAATTACAGTGGATTTTGAAGTTCAAATAAAGAGGTAATGTCAAATGCCTTTATAAAGTCCCTAACGCAGTTTCTTACACTCTTTTACTCACACAAACACAAAACAAAATGTCAAGAAACAGCTGTTCGAGCTAACTATTCATAACCAACTTCATGCTACTTGTAGATTTGGAATGAAAATGATGTTTGAAATTTCTTTGATATTTCGAAAAATGAACTAATTATTTTGGAATTTTTTTATCTGTTTAGAATAAAATAAATGTTTAAACATTTTTTGTACTTACAAAATTTTTTTGTACTTACATTCACTTATTATTTAATTTCCACAATTTCTATCAATTCACAAATTATAATTCTTAGCACTAGCATGAAGTTGGTTATATGTCAACCTTTATTCATTCGTATAAAAACATATTGTGTTCACGCACACATAAATGTTGGGGACTTTTGACAATTCCACTTTATATCGATCAAAACGTAAAGAACTAACATGAAAATGAAACCGTCTAGCTGTGAAATTTATCGTGAACTTGCTGAAGAGTTGAGAACACACATGCGCACGGTCTTTTGATCAGGGGGGTCAAATTGACTTTGGTTTCGAGGGGGGAGGGGGGTATTTATATGGAAAACTAAAATAACAATTTTGCATTAGAGAAACAAGGAAAAATGTGTGTTGGCGAGCAAAGCGAGCCGAAATTTTGCAAGTATGACTTCAAAATTACTGTATTTTTGCTATTGTTTATACATTTATATTGCAAATCTGAGAAAAAAATTCTCAGAGGGGGGTCAAACCGGTAAATCTCCTAAAAATTTACCTGGGGTTAAATTTTGAAAAATTTGCCTCAGGTCGGGGTCAAATCGGACCTCGTCAGCATACATTCCAAAAACGAAGACGATTGACACATGAACGATCTCAACTGCTTTTGAGCCGCCTTGAAAGCGATACGGTGTACAATATCCACAACGATCTGGTCAATGAATTTCCAGATAATCTACAACATTTGCCACGCAATTACGTTTCATCAAATTCACTTTCGCTATTGAAAAGCCGATATATTAATCAAGCTGAAACATCAATCAATAATTTACGCAACATGAAATATGCACCGGAATATTGTGACGTGATCTAAGAAATTGACAGCGCTCCATTTTTCGTTATCTTCTGGACGATTCCTCAAAAGTTTGTTTACTCACAATTGGAAAAAAGAGGCCGATTGAAAATTAGTATGGATGAAACCGGTGGTATTGTTTCAAACTATGGATTGCAAGCTGACTTGGATCGAAAAGTTGACTTGCCACACATATTTCTTTACTTGATTTGTTTTAAAAATGTAAACGGAAAAAGTGTTCCAGTCGCACAAATGTTATCTGCGCAACAGGATACCCACAAAATTGGCTGCTTTTTACAACGTTTTTTGGAAGATTTCAAATGCCCAGATGAAGTCGCTATCGATGATGGCCTTGCTCTTGAAAGGTCTGAGAGTAACTGATTGTTGTCACCATGGCCTGGAAATGCCTATGTAATTTACATATAAACGAGTGAAACTCAAAACAATACATGCACATTAACTCACAAACATCAAAAGTATACGCCATAACAGCAGTGCAAACACAAATACATGCGCACGCTACTCAGTTTTGTTTCTGTGATGAATAAATATTGACTTCTGCTGTACATGTGATGCTTGTGTATGTATTGTTTTGAACAAGAAGCACATGTTTGAGTCTCACTCATCTCCGCACAAATAAGATTCACAAGTTTTCACTGTGATCAGGTTACAACAATTTTTTATGGTTTTTCAGTAAAATGGACCCTTTTGATTTTCAAGTCGCTGTCTTATATCAAATAGAAAGTTGAACATTATTTTATATATTGAATCTGGGGACTATAAGACAAGTTTTTCCAAGTGGCCGCAAAATTATGCTGAGAATGTTCCACCCTAATGTATATTCATCGTATATACAAAGACGTATTTGATAAGAACAATTGTAAATCCTAAAGAAATAACTTTATAAAGTATACTTACGGGACTTGGCGGTAAAGATTTTCGTTTTTTTGGTGGACTTTCTCCGCATTCTGAACAAGTCACTTCTAAATAATATATTATTGGCTATAGCCAGCAAGAAATATAGTGCATGTTCCAAATAAAGTCGAACTTGAGAATTTGACAAACTCGAGTTTGCCAGTGGCATTTGTCTTCAAATCTTCCCCATAATGTGAAATCAGTGGCTTCACATGTTTCCAATTGAGGCTCCAGTTGTAATACCAATGTATCAGCATTTTCATCAGATGTACAAAATCACGGACAAAATTACATATTCATTAAAAAGTACGTACTTGGAGATCTCTCGTTGGAAAATGTGCCTTGTTGAAATTTTGTGGCCATCTTTGAGATTTTCATTTAACAATTTACACTTTCTTGTATATATAATTTCATTTTTCTTGTATACTGTATACAAAGGTATACATATTGTATACCGTTGGATAGGTATTAATGAGTACAACAATATTGACCCAAGAGGGGTGCCCTATCCCCCATGGTATGGGAGGTGTGCCCTCCGGAGTATTTTTGAACCTCCCCGTGAAAAACGCCCCCTAGCGGGAATTTGGAAAATCGCACCACTGATATAGTATATACTCACTACCAGCTACTCATAGCATACAAAAATGAGAATGAATTTGCTGTAATTCAAAAGTTCAGTAAAGTGTAGTTGTGCCAATTTTTTTTCAAGTAACTGTGAATCTGTAGACTTGGGTGTCTTTTTTTAAAAAAGTCATAGGTTTCCAGGTTTCGTACTTAGCGCCATCTATAGTTTTAACTAATATTATAAGTAACTAGTTGTCGCCACCTATCATTTTGATAAAGCCTATTGAACGATTCATATATGATACGAAGTTTCTAGATCATTCAATGTCAATTGAGTATAAATAAAAACGGACCGCAATGGTGTTTACGACTTATTATAGTTGACGGCCTAAGAAGAAAACAATAACATACAGAATATTCTGCAAAAAGACGAATACAAATTTATGTGAGCAAAAACCAAATATACAAACAGACAGCGCAAAAGTAAAACAGCCTACTTACATGTGTTTCTTATGTAAGTAGGCTGTTTTACCTTTGCGCTGTCTGTTTGTATATTTGGTTTTTGCTCACATAAATTTGTATTCGTCTTTTTGCAGAATATTCTGTATGTTATTGTTTTCTTCTTAGGCCGTCAGTTTTGAAGCGTCAGCAAGAGACACATTATTTTTGATTTTTATTTAATTACTTTTCGTGTGTTTACTTGATCAAGAAAGTAACATAAACAACCACAAAAATGTTCAAGAAAGCATTTGGTTATAAGAAACTCGAGAACGAAAGCGATGATGATTCATCACCGTCTTCGTCACGTAAGTAGACGCAGCAGCAATCTGCTATAAAAAAGAACGCATCGACTCAAACGGATTCAAAATACGGTGAAGACAATAAGGGCTACAACCAATCCCAGAACAAACAAGTGAAAAAGTGAAAAAATAAAAAAATGCCGTTTTCCGTAACACGTGTACGAACACAGGAAATTCCAGCCATTGGTGTTCAAATTCTCGTGTCAATGGTTGAAACAACAATCAATAATACGCAACCGTCATTCTACCACAGCTATGTGAAGATTTTCCGTGATAATGATGATGACAACAGCGTTGTGTTCACTGCAACCGAATTCGCGCAAATCTGCATTCTCCCCATCGATAACAACGGTAACGATAACGGTAACACTTCGGTTCGATATGTGGGCGGAAGCGAGTATCATCGTATCTTCCGCTTGAAAGATAGCTACGGTGACACCATCGACATCATGGATTCAAATATCCCAGCGCTACATCGAACAATTAATATTCTTGACGAATGACATACTTCACACTAAGAAAAAAAAGTTTGTCAAAAAGTTGAAATTCAAAAAATTGTAAAAACCAAATCCAAGTGAAAATCATAAAGTTTTTGAATAAAACACGGAAAATTCCATGAAATACAAAAAATGTTTGTCTTTTTTTTATTTTGATTTTCTCATTACAGTGTTTGTATGTTTGCTTGTATTTCTGTTAATGCCGAAAACGCAGTGCTAAAATCAAATCTTCTAGTAAGACAGTCGTACCACCATGGATAGCACATGTGACAGCATCATGAAATAGTTCTACGATGTAACCTTCAGCGGCTTCCTAGATATAAAAACACAAAACACACACAATGAATCAAATTTTTTTATCGAAAAAACACAACTTTCTTAAATACACGCACACATGAAATCACATTTTTATCGAAAAAAATTACAAATTTCTTAAATGTACACGCACACACTGTGAAAAATACTCAAACACTTACTTGTAATGCTTCAATAGCATTCACTTGCATACTGAATACATTTTCACGGAATAGAATATCGTGTACAATATTTTTGAATACTGTTCGGGAGATCAATAGATTCGTAGATCTTTGATAACGCCGAATGTTGCGCAATACATTGTTTGCGCGGCGAATTCTTCTTCTTGGTAGTTCTTTCGGCATCTTCCTCAATTAACTAGTACATATCAACTAATATGATTTCAATTATATTGACTAATTGAATGCACGAAAATACCCAAAAAAATGTCTTATCCAGCATTTATTCTTTCATAAATACTTTACATAAATCAAAAAACAATATCGGACCAATCAGCAATCGAATAAATTATAATGGGCAGTATAGGATCGAATTTTTCATATAAAAAAGTGATCAAATTGATTAAAATTTCTTCAAATATTTCAGAAATCATACGATTTAACTGATAAGTTTGCTGCTATTTTTAGAATACTTATTGCATTTGCATATATAAACATAAACAAAAAGAGAAAACAACAACAACATGCAAAAAGTCCTCCGCAGTAGAGACATTTATTGCGGTTTTACCTACCATCACTTACAATGGCAAATAATGTAAAAAACTGCATGATGGCGCCATCTCTATGTGCTCATGAAAATTAGAACAAAAAGTTTGTGTAGAATGTTAGTTGTTTGAAGTTTGAATACGGAATCATTTGTTGTGACGTCTGTCATTTTACGCTCGATAAAGATATACCGTGTAAATTGAACAAAAACCGATTTATTATTTGTATTTGGTGAATTTGTGATGGAAAATAAATTGAAATTACTTTGCACAGTTTGTGTCATCGAAATTAACTGCGAGGACGTTGCATATCACATGGTTTTTCTTCACACAAAATCAGTTGACATTTGAATGGGTTAGGATAAAAGTGAGCTCAAATTTTCATATAAAAAAATCTCAATCATGAAATCGGTAAAAATAAATGACCAACTAAACTGAGATGAAAATAAAAGAGCAACATGATTCATGTTGGTCTTTTATTTTCATCTCAGTTTAGTTGGTCATTTATTTTTACCGATTTCATGATTGAGATTTTTTTATATGAAAATTTGAGCTCACTTTTATCCTAACCCATTCATTTTTGACTTTTTCGCACCAAAAAAAAAAAATGTTTTAATTGCCTTTGGTGCTCGTTTGGATCGCGAGTTCAATGCCAAGCACATAGAGATGTCGCTCGGAACGTGAAGCTCAAAAAAAATATACAGGTGATATAGAAAGCAAGTGAGGGTAGGGTTTTACTCATTTTTTCTAAATCCTATCCATAACACTAACGTTTCTCACGAATCCAATGTTGGATCAATGCCACATCATATGTAGCCCATAGCTATGGCCATCTATTGATACTATGTCATCGATAGGCAGCGTACGGGCTAGTCTACTGACTGACATTCGACATGTGAGAGCCGATCTTACAGTAACATATGGATTTGATATTAATTGAGTATCGCAATGTCTCTTTAATAAAAGATTTCGGTCATATATGGGATCGAACCAACGATCACGCGATTGCATGGCAAACAACGCTACCGCTAAAAATCTTCATAAATGATTTAAATTGGTGGCACTAATGATTCATAATGTCATACATTGGTTGATATAGAATCGAATTTCTCATATTGAAAAAGGCATCAAATTCAGTCCAAAATCTGCAAATCTTGCACTTTCATATTCGATTTCACTGATAAATTTGAGTTAGTTTTAGAATGGATATGTGTATACAAAATTCACACAAACCACTCCCATAAGAAAAAGTGACGCAAGTCCGTCTATTTCTCCATACAAACAGCTCTATCTTCGAAACTGCTTATGTAAACAAAAATTTTTTTTATGTGAAATGAACGGTGGCGCAAGTACTATACATACATATAAAATAAATTAATAAAATTCAATAAATAAGGAGGTGTCCAACACTAGTGACGCAAGTACACAATTTTTTTTTTTCGTATTAAATCATTTAGCTTTTGAAAATGATTGCTTATGAGTGTGTAGGGTGACGCAAGTCCACCTATTCATACAAAAAAACGGTATTTTTTTCAATTCTATTTATGTGAATCGAATTCTTTTCGTGTTCAATAAAGAGTAGCACAAGCACTTACCATACATACAAAAAAATGACCCCCACCATAACCCCATCCCTACGTTGACTGTGTGACGTCATAAACAACAACAACAATGATGTATGACGAAACACACACACCGATACGTGACGTCACTACACACCAATATGTGACATCGTACACACCAATATGTGACGTAATTCACACCGACACGTGACGTCACTACACCAATACATATATGAGCCAAAAGTGACTTAGTTCCATCTACTTACCTACTATGCGACAACAAGTGGTTCTCCAGATTAACTTTTGTTGTGAACTTAGCGTCACAACTTGTACACTTAAAGCGACGTTCTTTTTTGTACACTGTACGATTATGGCGTGAGACATTCTTCCAAACTTTTTCACAGGACATTTGACTGTGAAAAAAATGAATAGATGATGGTATATAGATAATAATGAAAATTACTTAATTTTTTTTAATTTTGACTCACCCAAATCGTTCTTAGTGGCTGTACCGTGTCTTATTACCACCCAATCATCTTCCGAAAAGTAATCCGATGAAAGATCACTGTAACTTTCTGGTTTTTTCTTACTTTTTTTTGCCATTTTGGAAATTTATCAACCCTCATTTTTAGTAGAAATTTCATGAAACTTGGTGATATTACTTATTTTGGTCAGAAAATGAGATTCACAAGTTTTCATGGTGATTGGGTCACTGCAATTTTTCATGATTTTCCAGTAAAATGTACCTTCTTTCCTTTCAAGTCGCTGTCTTATATGGAACCGCAAGTTGAAAATTCCTTCATATCTTGAATCTGGGGACTATAAGACATGTTTTCTCAAGTGGCCATAAAGGTATGCCTCGAAATCAAGGGGCGAAGCAGTAGTAGAACCAATTCTGCCAATTCCATACAATTCCATACAATTCAAATCAATTCCAATAAATTCCGGCGAATTCAGATTATATTCTAATATTACACACATAGTTGTGCGAATCAGCTGTGCGGCAAATACAACAGCGTATATGTGTGTGCGAGTATTGTTTGCCCGGCTAATTCATTTATACAACAACAGCTCTGCGGTTCTGTGAACAATTTATGAGCTCTTCGTTCGAAACCGAATTGTGCGATATTTTTTTTTTATTTGACAGATATTTACATTGTGGCAGACCACACAACGATTCACGACCACACAAATCGACAAGTCGAATTGAAACAGTTACAAAAATGTCGTTGGGCATTGTCAACTCGTCATAATGGAATTAATAAGTTCGGCAAATATTCATTTCTGGCACATTTTCGAGACCAAACTACAAATTAAAATCCCCGATCATATCAAAAATATACTTAGGTTTGTGGTTTTTCTGCGTACAATTAAAAAATCATATCATTGAATTTTTTATGGTTGAAAATCATTCTGTAAATTATAGTGTGTATGATGTTGGAAACGCACTTGCATTCAGTTTAATGACAGAGGAAGATATCAATCAAATTGAAGAATTTGTACGCAATGAATTGCAGGAATCGTTAGAGACACGGATAAATCGAAAATTGAACGAACAAGAAAAATTGGCATTTTTTGGAATCTACGCTGGTCGTCCGGAAAAGTTTTGCTTGTTGGGAAATAAAAAACTCATTAAACAAATGGTAGCTCAAATCAATTCAAGCTTGAATTTAGCCGATTTTACACTCGAAGAAGAGGTTCATTCGAAGAAGAAAAAAGGTCTCTCAAATGGCGTTTGTTCCGTAGCTCAGATACTTACATTCACATATAATTTGTACTTATCACTATTTCATTTATTCATTCTCACACCGCTGAAATAAAGCACTGAAAAAAGTGTATGCTCTGGAATGTAAAGAATCAATCTAATAATTGAAAGATGTAGTTTTAAGTTTTTTTATATTTTATTTGCTTAATAAATGATTGAAGGGAAAAGCCGGCACATCGGCAGCAAAAACCCTTCGCTCTGCTCTTGCTCGCGGTTGTATTGAGACTGATTGGCAAACGTCGCACTTGACATTTGCCAACCGTTGTAGTTTGCGCTTTTTGGTTGTGGTAGTGCTCGAACGTGCGTTCGATACACTGCCCCGATGAAATGCTCAGAATTTCATAAATGATTTGCCGGGTTTTTTGGACACAACAAACTGTTGTGCTTTCGGTTGCATGTTTTGCACGGCCCCACCAAACAGGCATCTGTAAGATGCTCCGTCGAGAAGCAATTGGCACACAATTTCTTGCGCTCAATCAGACCCCACTTGTCGTCCAATCTGAGAGCTTTGAATGGCAAACACCGATGGAGCGGATGGTCTGCCGTGCACTGTGGACAGCCACCCTTCTTCTTTTTTGGTGCACTACCAGAAGGCGATTTGGTTGACCAATTGGCCGGTGAATTTTGAGCAGATGCTCTTGCTGATGTGGAGGCAACCGATTCGGTCTCATGCTGCTCCTTTCGCTCTGAACATTCTTTCGGATCAATCAACTTGGCTCTTTTTATCAAGAAGTCAACCAGCACTTCCAACGTGGGCTCTGATTTATCGATGGAAAAATTCCAAATTTGTCGGCTGGTGAAATCGAGGAGGCTGAGAATATAACCGACAATTATATTGTCATTTTCAACCTCGATTCGCGCTTCATATGACCGGCTTCGCACTGTTTCGATTGCGTCCAAATATCGCTCGAGCACTCGCGCACTTACCCATTCAATGGGCTTTAGTTCAAAAATTGGTTGCACCACCTCCCAGTGCTTTTTGAAAGGTGGTCTTTGTGCCACCGATCGCGGTGTGACAGTTGGATCTGCACCTCCAACTGCACCATCCTGCTCTGACCAATCAATTGTACGTGCCCCGGTTTCATCTACAGTGATTGATGCTTTTAATTTTGGATTTTCATCCATCTTGGGTGGAGTTTCCATTGGTGTATTAGGCTCGGTTTGCTCAACCGGCTCAGTTTGCTCTGATTTCTCCACCAAATCATCGACTTGCATTTCTTCCAATTGAGCTGGTGAAATTTGCTCAATTAAATGCATTCCCGTTGCATGAAACACGCGCTGGGCGTTCTAATAAAGTTCGCGATTTTGCTCGTTGCCCTGCTCTTCCGGTGATAAAAGATGGAAATCTTCCAATAAATGTGTGAATTGAGCATTTAGCTCACTCAACATTTTGTCGGCGTCGATCAACAAATCACTCGTGGCAATCACTTTGAGCTCGTCAATCTTTTTTACGATGTCTTCGATCATCTGAAAATACAATCAATTTTATTAATTCGCGATTTTCACTGATGCACACAGATTTTGTGCTACAAATTGAATTCACAGTGGTCCCTTCACAGTG